TGTCTGTAACATGTATTGTTTAGTCCTTAACAAAATGAAAACTTTCACACAGCCTCTGCCGAAGTTCCTACGGCAACGGGATTGTTTTAATTTACTATTTATATAATTATAATTACTAGTTATATTTTATAATTTAAAAAAATATATATTTCATGGAAATCTTATGCCAAACCCCAACGTTTTGTTGGGACTTTTTGTTGCCAAACCAACCAAGTGTTTGTTTACTTCAGAACAGAACTATCTAAAATCTAAAACCTTTTTGTAAAACTATCAACTGAGGAACTTTTGTTGACAGCTTAATGTCAAAATTGATGAAGGAGTAAGGGAGGAGTGCATGAGGTAAACATGGGAAACCCCATAGCCAATGGTGCCCAAGTGGTGCCCAAAAGGATTTTTGAGATAAGAACAGGTCTATATGTTAATGGGGAATATGAGCTATCATCATGCCAAATTTCAGTCAAATCCAACCAGCAATTAATGTGTGATAGAGCCCCAAACAAATAAACAAACATACAAACTTTCAACTTTATAGTATGATAATTATTTGAAAGATACACCAAAGCAATATTGATGACAAACATGCTAAAAGACCGTGTAGATTTTAATACCTTAACATGCATACAAATGCACACATACATTCAATCTCAACTATATTACAATTTTATAGGGAGCTAAACAATTTAAAATAAGGTTTGATATTGCAAACATGACCTTTACAAATTATGTACAATGTTTATTTTAGTAGACATAGTAATCCATCATAAACTATTAACACACTTTTTAACAAAAAAGTTCAACAAAGCCAAAACCAAACAAATAAACCATTATTTAGGAACGATAATATTTTAAGTGTACAAGGAACGTATATTTTAGACTGCCTAGTATTTGCAAAAGGATGTTTTATTGAAACAGGCACGCATGAATATGACCACAATTACAATACACGAAACTGCTGCAATATTAAACCTAGAAAGATCAATATAGCACCAAAACTACTAGTTTTATTGAAACAGACACGCATGAATATGAACACAATTACAATACACGAGACTGCTGCAATATTAAACCTAGAAAGATCATTATAGCACCACAACTACTAGTTTTATTGAAACAGACACGCATGAATATGAACTCAATTACAATACACGAAACTGCTGCAATATTATACCTAGAAAGATCAATATAGCACCACAACTACAAGTTTTATTGAAACAGACACGCATGAATATGAACTCAATTACAATACACGAAACTGCTTCAATATTATACCAAGAAAGATGAATATAACACCACAACTACTATTGATTGAAACAGACACGCATGAATATGAACTCAATTACAATACACGAAACTGTTGCAATATTATACTTAGAAAGATCAATATAGCACCACAACTACTATTGATTGAAACAGACACGCATGAATATGAACTCAATTACAATACACGAAACTGCTTCAATATTATACCAAGAAAGATGAATATAACACCACAACTACAAGTTTTATTGAAACAGACACGCATGAATATGAACTCAATTACAATACACGAAACTGCTTCAATATTATACCAAGAAAGATGAATATAACACCACAACTACAAGTTTTATTGAAACAGACACGCATGAATATGAACACAATTACAATACACGAAACTGCTTCAATATTATACCAAGAAAGATTAATATAACACCACAACTACAAGTTTTATTGAAACAGACACGCATGAATATGAACACAATTACAATACACGAAACTGTTGCAATATTATACCAAGAAAGATGAATATAACACCACAACTACAAGTTTTATTGAAACAGACACGCATGAATATGAACACAATTACAATACACGAAACTGCTTCAATATTATACCAAGAAAGATGAATATAACACCACAACTACTATTGATTGAAACAGACACGCATGAATATGAACTCAATTACAATACACGAAACTGTTGCAATATTATACCTAGAAAGATCAATATAGCACCACAACTACTATTGATTGAAACAGACACGCATGAATATGAACACAATTACAATACACGAAACTGTTGCAATATTATACCAAGAAAGATGAATATAACACCACAACTACAAGTTTTATTGAAACAGACACGCATGAATATGAACACAATTACAATACACGAAACTGCTTCAATATTATACCAAGAAAGATGAATATAACACCACAACTACAAGTTTTATTGAAACAGACACGCATGAATATGAACACAATTACAATACACGAAACTGCAGCAATATTATACCTAGAAAGATGAATATAACACCACAACTACAAGTTTTATTGAAACAGACACGCATGAATATGAACACAATTACAATACACGAAACTGTTGCAATTTTATACCTAGAAAGATCAATATAGCACCACAACTACTATTGATTGAAACAGACACGCATGAATATGAACTCAATTACAATACACGAAACTGCTGCAATATTATACCAAGAAAGATGAATATAACACCACAACTACTATTGATTGAAACAGACACGCATGAATATGAACTCAATTACAATACACGAAACTGTTGCAATATTATACCTAGAAAGATCAATATAGCACCACAACTACTATTGATTGAAACAGACACGCATGAATATGAACACAATTACAATACGCGAAACTGCTGCAATATTATACCAAGAAAGTTGAATATACACCACAACTACAAGTTTTATTGAAACAGACACGCATGAATATGAACACAATTACAATACACGAAACTGCTGCAATATTATACCTAGAAAGATCAATATAGCACCACAACTACTATTGATTGAATAAAACTAATTTTTGTAGTTTTATTTTAAAATGCGAACAGTATTTGACGTGTTCTAAAATTTAAAATAGTTCAATATTAAGAACTACCTGCTAAACCTGTGGCCGTATAAAGAAATAGATTGCATACAGGATGTTGAATTACCCCTTAGTTGAAAATTGTTCCAAGATTTTTCCAAAGTGCCATGCATGCAAACCTGGGTAACGGCAATAAAGCATTCTTATTCTATAAATTTGAAGGCCTGTGGAAAAACCCAAATACTTTTACTAAATTAATTGGTCAATGAGGGAGTCTACATAAAAAATTCTTCATTTTCACAGATAGTTTGTAAAAGTCCGTTCATTATTAAAGAAGAGGTGTGGCGTGTAAGGGTATTTCTATGAACCCCCTTGCCTCCGCCGGGTTTAATAACTGTATATAGATTGTTGAGGCGATCCAACATAAAAGAAATTAATTTGTTCTTGTTGGATTTGTTTTTTGTGCACACTGCACGCAACAAATTGTAAACTCAATCACTTCCAATCTCATTAATGGAACGGTTATGCAGTATGTTGTAGCTCATAAATATTACGTCACAATGTTTTTCAATATTGACTCATCCGAATGAATGAAAGATAACTAGTTGCAAATTACAAGCGGAAACATTATCTGCAGATAAGTGGATCTGATTGATAGTGGCCACTAACTTATGATGTAGTAGACGTATATCACTATTGACTTCTCGTGACTACCACTACTATCTGCTGCTTGCTATAGTTATGTAGTGCATTAATGTTTGGATAGCACGCAGACTCGTCATAAATGCCGTCTTCTTACATTAACTAGGCGATTCTTCCAAATGAACAAGTGTAAAATCCAACAAATGATTTATAGTCAAGTAAATAATAATGTTTGACTTATCGATACTATGTTAATAAATTGCATTACTGAAATAGGTTATTTTGTTTTATGCATTAGAGACCCATATCTGATCATTAGGAAGGGAAATACAAACCAGATCTTACAGTTAGTTGGCTTGGAAGTAGTTCCTTTAGTAGTTTTTCATCCGTAATACTCTCTAATCTTTGTATGGTGCCAAATGTAGAGTGTTTGTGAGTATTAATTAAAAATTAAGAGAGAAAAATTAGTAAGCCATGTTAACAAGAAGAACAGAATGGAATAATGTTTACTTTACAATATTATGATTACCAATGATCAGCTGTTGTAATTAATTTTAAGCAGGCTAAAGAAAATATTAGCTAAAAGAACTGAACACCAAAAGTGATTTTTAATTTTTCAGGAGACCCACTGGGCAACACGATTGTTTATTAAACGTATACTTCGGTTAATATAATATTTGTCTTATTCCTATTATCGTTGATTTGCTTTTAAACATACCACTCGTTTAAGTATAAACATTATACATTATGCATTTATAGCAAAATATTATGAAGCTCATTTTCTACAGCTATTATCTATAAACCACTGCTCAATTTTGAATCAAATTATTATTAAAAACTCACTTGTGTTGATGTAGTTTTCAAACGTTCTTATGTGAACGACCGTTTAATTCCCTGCAAAAATTTAACTAAGCAAGGGAGACGAATCGGTGCATGGCTGGTAGTCTCAAATGTGGATAATTATATTGGATTGTTGCTAAGTTGCTACCCAGACTGAATCAAGAAGCTTTATTTGCCATTACATAATACAGTTACAATAGGCACCGTCATAGCAAGAAACAATCCACCAGTCTTGGAGTTTAAAAACTCTTCTACCATGCAGTGAGCCTTGCTGTTTAGTATTTTAATTAAATAATTAAAATTAGCCTCAGTTAACAACAATACAGCAGTTGGCAACTAAGCCATGAGTGAACATGAGTGAAGGCATGAATTGACTGAATGATGATAGCTTATGACTAAGATCAGCTGATTCTATGACCAAGGTCGTTTATCAAGATCCCAATTAATTATTAACGACAGCTGGGTTCGGTGGACAGTGTACGTAACTATGATCAGTAGACGTTGTTTGACAGTACAGTAGTTGATAGTAAGCTGTGACGTGCCCCTGACACACCCTCCTCCTTACAACTCGTTGACCAATGAATGGCCGAGGGGGCTATGGGGGGCTGTGGGGGGCTGTGGGGGGCTGTGGGGGGCTGTGGGGGGCTGTGGGGGCCCTGACTGTGCCCCAGTCAGTACCTCAGTGCGCCGCTCTGTCTGCAGTGTCGCGCTCGCGCTCGCGCCGCAGTCTTTCACATGTGCGAGATCGGATAAGCATGTACACTCGAGGTGAGTCAAACACTCTACACTAAGCTCTAGCGATAGCAAAATCATTTATCGCTCTAAAAGTACTTGTGTTTCCAAAACATTTATTACAGGCATTAACATGGAATGGTGGACTTATTCCGTCAATTACTACCACTTTATAATGGTTACCGAAAATTACTTAGTTTAAGTTTTAAGTTATGTCTTGGTTCTAACCAAATATAAATAAGCTAATCCTAAACAAGATTAGAAGATTATCAAAACATTCCAATTATGAAAAAAAAAAAAAACATAATGATAGCGAATTAATTTAAGAGATCTGTAATAGTTAAATTAAATACCTAAATACTTTAAAATTTATAATTACTAAAAATACATTTAACATATTATATTGATGTAATAGTATATTACGTTACTAGTTCTGAAAATAGGTGTTTACCGCAAAAGTGTGATCGTTCCCGTGCGAGACGAAGTCGAGTGCGGGATTACCCTACGAGTCCGGTAAACACATTTTGGACGAGTGACGTACGATATAAAGCCATACACTATAAGCTAACTAAACAATAAAAAATCTGTTCAAATCCTTATATACTTCCACCGACTAAAGGACTAACAATCACTACTCATAACCTCCAAGAGGTTATGTTTTTGTTTATGACCACTCATTGCCAAATATAATTAGCTGGTTGGTGTCCGGTAAAAACTCATTACAGTTACCTAGTAGTACGCAATGAAACCCCATTTGAATAAGCTGGCGGCAAACAGCTGTTTTCCGGACTTAATCCTTGCGTGGGAAGTTTGTTAAAACAGTGTAGTGTGGCGTAAACATATATTAATGTAAACCACGTTATAACTAAACACATTTACTAATCGTTAAATTCTGTGAACAAGAAATTCAATCACCTCTGTTGATACTTGATTACCAATATTCATCATAAAACTGGGTTAGCCTAATAAATATATCGGCTTCTCATTCTTACGAACATTTAGTTTCCTTTATTGTTACTTTTGTTAAACACTGGTTTTTATGTTTGAATCCTTCAATTTCCATATTTAATTCAACCATTTTATTTTTATGTTTGAGAACTTAGTTACGTCAAACAACTGAGTTGCCATAACATTCAATTTGATATAAATGGCATTTAGGAGAGGTTAAGCCAAATGATTGTATTCCTTATTGATCTGTAAATGAAGTTCAAAGATTGTTTAACAATATATCCACAGCGTGTTTAACTAGGGAAGTCATCACTATTGGTTTACGTTTAACCAGTACATATATTGCATGTTGTCCAAGTAAGTCAAAGTTACCATCAAAACAGATCGAGAGAAACCTACTCGTCTAGTCACTTGTTAAACTGGTTAACAATCAGTCTAGTCAACAATGAAATAGTACAGACCCGAGTGGAAATAGGTTTTTGGGAAACGTGATGAAACTCAGATGCAATAACTATGACAAAAGTTGACAGGTCCAGCTGTTGTTGCATAACCTAACTTTTTCCATCAGTCAGATGAAGTATTTATCATAGCGTGTTGTACGAGCAGAGTAGAGCAGAGTAGAGCAGCTGTCAGAAGTGTGTTGAGTGTTTGACAGCATGGGCCTCCGCCGATGATGAATCTGATTGAGAGCATCAAATACTCAAGTCATCGACTCTCACCGCATGATGCTACAATATTTGACGACGCGAACTCGATATAATTTATTCACTGACACAAGTTTGAACTAAAAGTTGTTTTCTTTAAGACCTTAAACAAAAAATCACATCGTCTCGGAGCTAGGTCTTACCACGAAGACCACGACAATAGCTTCTTCTGTACATATAAATTCTAAATTCGTAATAAAACCATTGACTATTGGATAATCAAAGATAAAACTAAGACAAAAATATGACAAGAAGAAAATATTTGGTATGAATGTATATCTACTGAGTCCAGGGTTGTGTGAAGCTGTCCTGGGATGGTCGCTGGTAGACGGCGCGGCGGCGGCGCCTCCCCTCTCATGACCACTATCGTTCTCTCTTTCCTTCACTTACACCGACGATGTAAAGACTGTACAAGTCTACATAATAAACATATACACCATGTAATTAGTCTAAATTTGTTCTCTATGTGTTCTTGTCTGCAGACAAGTTCCTTTTAAATATACCCTTAGCTACTACGTGGATTAGGCCTACACCCATAATACTAGTTTGCCTTTAGCCAGTATGAAGTATAACAATTAATAGCTGGTCAGGAGATTTAGATTTATTTGAGTAATTTTGTGATCAGTTTATTTATATCCACAAATATAGTTTTTTAGAATATAAACACAAAGAACGCCTCTACTTGAAGCACTGACTGCCATTGACACCGCAGCCACAGCTTCTTTACAATATCTCTGTCCCTATCGTGCTTATGCATCGACTGCCACGTGAGGGCGTCCAAAATACTTCATTTGCCATACATAGGAGCACACTAAAAGGCGTGTTGCCGTTCCAAAAATCAAACTCAACTGAGTCGAATGTAGACGCGCGCGTCGCTCTCTGTGTGCTCCATTGCTTCACAAAGCCTGAAGTCCACGTCCTGTGTGTTGTAGGCCTACCCTTCATTACATCATTACATTATCCATTTAGTTGATCCATAAATTTAGATTTTCTTTACTTCATATCTCGATCACAAGATGAAAACAGGGTAGAATCTATATTTTTTTTTTCAAATAAAATCTTTTAAATATATACGAGATGTTGGCCCGTCCTACGTACGGGAATTCAGTAGTCAGTTAAAACCGTGTACAATTCAGATCAGCTAGTTTACACATATAAAGACAAATTTCCTTGCAGTTTTAATGTGAAAAATCATCTTGTAAACATATGTTGTGTGACAAAATATGTTTTATTCCATCATAGGCCTATACGATAGGTATGCATTTCAAATCCGGTAATTTTACAATAAAACAGCAATTCTGCAATTTTTACGATGTGTAAAGCGTTGAAGTGAGATTGGCAGACGATTCGCACAGACGCACACTGATTATAAGTAGCCTACAGTAGAGAGAGTAATTAGTCAATTGAGAAGTGTATAGTTGTGTAGACCTAGTCAACGATACCACCTTTCATAGCATACCTGCCTCTTCCATAATTATTATCCCCAAAACACAACTACTATACACAATTTCCAGTAGGCCTAGGTCTGAATAGAAACGACCTAAAATAAAACGATACTATCCAATACAATTCACAGTACACATAATTTAACTTTGGTGTCCTAACATCAAAACTAATCGTCACACCTATCCTTTATATAAATTTCACTGCATTAATTGCTAAATAAATAAGTGTAAACAAAGAAAAGTAAAAACAATAACAGTTTGTTTTGAAACAGCTGTTTGGTTCAAATAACATTCTTTTGAACATTCATTTGGTCACATGTAGCAGGAATATAAAAAGTAAACACGCTAGTAAAGCTAAAGACGTAGTTGTCAATGTTTATTATCCATACCATTATCAGTTCTATCCTTGATAATTACCCACCCTCATTGAATAAATGTACATCATAATTTCCCATATTAGTTAATTTAAACTACAATATATTCATAGTTGAATAATAATTCATAGTTAGATAAAAGTTATGTTTTCACGTTTGGGGGCGCTGATTAGGCACCCCCAAAAGTAACCACAACTGAACACGATTTCATAAAAAGATGGTTTGTCTAATTGCAGTATCCTAGGTCAATGTTGACGTTGTGTTCAATCTATGTCATCCATCTGTTTATCTTTGTACGTATAAAACCCGGCAGAGGTTGTGGTGGTAATTTAAAATCGTGATTCCTGATTATTCTTGATCTTTTTTTTATGACATCAATATTTCCGGGCCTAATCCAAACAAAGTTAAAGCAGACAAACATGAATTGTAAACAAAAAGCTACAATGAAGAATTTAAAACATGTAAACATTGTTATTTTTCTATTCTTTCCTTGAAAAGTGGAGCAGTAAAATAATTTGCATTTATCCTTTTTTATTAAGACTCGTGTACAGAGCCTCGATTTGTACTGTGGTTTAATTAATTTTAGTCTATAGTATTTTAAACTGTGTGTGTTCTACTAATCTTACTTATTTCCTATAATCAATGACAAAATAAGAGTAAATAAAATAACCTCATAGTTCCATTGTTTATATTTAACCAGCTGTTAGTTAAAACAAATTATATTTCTCTAAAACAAATCGAAGATTACAAAGATTGCTTTAGAAAATAATTTGAACATCGTAGTATTTTACTATGTATATTTAATTAATCTGTCATCCTCTTACAGAAGAATTGAACGTAATAATGATTAGCATTACACATAGTATAAATAAGTCAACCCTAAGTATGTCTTTACATTTTTATCCAAATGCTGAATTTGTGACACAAAAGCTGAATGTTTACAGCTGTTATGAAGCAAATTATTTTATGCCAAAAGCTAGTTTAGAATCTTAGCGTCGGCTGCTAGACTTTTTAAAAATTAAAACTTAATTTCTAAAAAACTTTGACCCTAAACCAAAATTATGGCTTCGACATTCGCCAGTTCTCAAAATTATCTTTCTTTCAACACAAAAATCATGAAAATCCGTCGAGTGGTTGATTCAGAATCGTGAAATAAAAAAACACTGTTTCGTTTTAATATTATAGATTACGTGATTAATTTGACAGGTAATATTTTTCAAAAGAAGATGTCTAGCTTTCATATAAAAATTAAATACTCGTGTCAGGTTGGCATTATCGTTGGCTGGTGAGATATTACCAATGCTAAATAAATGAGGACGACCGGCGTTTACATTATACATGAGTTGATTTGACAAATCAAATAAAGGAAAGTATATAAATCAATGTTATTGGTTATGGGATAGGACTATGTAGCCTACTTTTAAGCTTTACAAGAAAAACTCAAAAGTAATTTTTGTCAAACGACTCTTGGCAACGTCCCGTTATACTTGAGGCTCAAATGTCGAATCAATAATATACTAATTGTACGCTGGTGCCCGTCACTTCGCTCTGAGAGAAAACATATT